CACCCACACCCCACCCCCACCCACACCCACACCCACACCCACACCCACACCCACACCTACACCCACACACCCACACGCACCCACACCCACATCCACACCCACACCCATTACGATCTTTTCTCATTCGAGAGTCACAGATTTATTGTTGAAAATCATGGAAAAGCTAACAGTTTTCCGAATGTTGTTTACTATGTCTTCATTACGATAAAATATTTTCAATCGACTTTAATGTATATTTTTGAACAGCATTTTCAACTGTTGTGTAAAATATGTATGTTTTGTAAGCCATTATTAGTGATCTGTATGAGTTTTAGAAACTATAAGTATTATTTAAATTAGTTCGAAACTAAAAAAAAAAAAATAATAATAAAGCCTGTGATTATGAAATAGTAAAAATGGTTCATTTATGAATCACAACGCATTTCAATGACTACTTTATCATTATTCACTACAAAACATGCATTTAACGGTCGAAATGGTCTAGCTACAGATAATAATGCACTTTAACGATCATTTTTCCATTATTCACTTAACTGAGTATTCTTCCCTCGCAAGAATATCTATATCAAAATATCTAGTACTAATAAGTCGAACAGTATAGTGGCTGAATACTTGACCTCAACCTTCAAATCTGACACCATTGCTGGAATGGGCTCGCATGTCTTCATGTGGATTACTTTCCTTCAATAGAATTTATTGAGTGAGTATATACCTATAAGAACTTTTTTCCAGTTTCAAGTGTCTTTTTTTTCGTGGCGGCGCCACAGGTGGGCGGAGATGGGCTGAGCCCACCCTAAAATTCCTTCAACCCACCCTGAATATTTGTAAGTTGCAGCAAAAGTTGGTCTCCAGGGAGGGCTGAATTACAGTGAGTCCACCTACATTTGAGCTACAAGGGGCTGAACCCACTCTAGTAAAAACTCCTAGCGCCGCTGCTAGTCTTTTTCGATGAAACTTTTTCAAAGAGATATAAGAAACATTCTTTTTCTATGCAATACAACTTGAATTCTATTTATGTAGTATAAAATAAGTGATAAAGTGTGAATATAGTTTCTTGATTGAATGATATAATCATTTGAAATTATTTTTTGAAAAGTGTTTTAATAAGTGCTGTTGCCATGTCATTTGTACTAGACAATGATTCCACAGATTTCGATATTACACTACTAAGTATTCCACAACCACTATTTTTATCCGAAGCGTTTGCTATATTAAATACTACCATTGGTGCAATATAAATCAATTCATTAATTGCATCTTGTTTAACGGCAGAATCTAAGTGTGAATATCTTAGAGTTGCCATAATCACCGGACGACAAACTCTCAGAAGTAATGCATGTGTTTCATTTCTACATTTTTCTAATGTTAATTTTGTACGATATAGATCTTTTAATTGTGGACAAATATCATATAGAATATTTTCCAATTCACAAATATATCGATCATAGAAATGTTCTGCAAGAATATCTGATGCTTTATCAACAAGTTTTTCTAATTCAATACTTAATTCTTCTCGTATTTTATTGTCAATTGGATGTGCATTTAATTGAAGTACTGTATAACCATGTGTTTCAAGCATCAATTGTT